CCATGTATGTTGGTTTAAAACTGAGAAAATACCGCAATTCTGGGGCAAAAAATTCTCGACGTGCGTAGCGCCAAGAGGTTAATTTCCTGGGGACGATCTAGGATTGGGAAAAACCCCTAGTGATGTGAGTAAACGTGAATTTATCGAAGGTGCAAAGGGACAAAGGTTTGGTTAACTGAATTCAACGAGGAGAGTTTAAAGGAGACGAAAAACTCCAGGGTAAGACGTATGCTTTCACCCTCCGTGGACGTGACTCCGATGAATTTGTCGAAATCGCGTGCTACGCGAGAAATACGCGAGGAAAGTGCAATTAGACAGCCTGGAACAAGTTCTGGCCAACAAGAGTAAAACGACGAATTCTCCGAAGCGCGGCGCTTCGTTATTTAGATCAGAGGTGGCTAACTGGCGGCCCGCGAGCCCTTGCCCCCACTACTTTCCTGATGGCCCCCTCCACTGCATTGAAATGTCCTCGCCGTGCACCGAGCCCCGGCTCTTTCAGTCTGTTGATTTTCCTACCAAGCAAGTGCTCTGATCTAGATAAACACTTTCCGAATTCGTCGCCGAAAGATTCTTTTTACTCTCTTCTTTACTGTTTAAGAGTTTTTTTTGAAAATAAATTTCGTTTTACGCGAATGAAAATCGTCAGTACAAAAGAAAAATATTCGAAAGAAAAGCTGTTCTATAAGTCATAGAAATATACATATTTCTTTCGCATAGGTTAACAAAAAAAGAAAAAAGAGAATAATGATATTTCAGAAAGCAAAAGTAAATTTTATTCTCGCCGCTTGAAACATTCGCAAGTTCGACTATTTCAATTTTTTTGCATGATTTGTTCTCAAACTTTGCTGATACTCGCGGCAACATTTCTAGAAATCTTGTCGAAATCTTAAAGCTCGTTTGTCTCAGTGTCCACGATGTATTTTCTGGCGTGAACCACGATGTCGCGTAAACAGTGTTATCGTTTACCGCGTAAATGGAAGCAACGGGTGTAGAACCGAAGATCGTGAAAGGTAGTAATCCCTGTCGAAAGAGACACATAGCGGAAACATGCGGTTGAACGCGAGCATAACCGTGTCACGAGTAAATTTGTCAGCGAGCAAATCAGTTATTTGAATCAAAGACATCCGACAAAGACACCAATGCCAACAGCGGTTGACATTCAGCGGTTGAAGCCCAACAGCTAACAAAGCTAACTTCCTGCTTCTCCCATTTCGAGGCGGAATCGAGTTGGGGCTAACGGCATTAGCGAGATTGGCGAGTGGCTGGAAACTCGCGTAATTGAGCTACCCCTTCACAGATGGCGATACACCCGGCTTGCTATAATAACTTTCGTTTTGTTCGGCATCGGTAAAGAAGATTGCCCTGAAACGATCATCTTCAGATCGAGAACGCTCAGACTGCGGATCAGACAGAATTTCCCAAAGAGCTTCGATAAAAAAGATAAAGATATCTTTCCGTATCATGATCTTCATCTTCATTGATTTCTTCTTCGTGAGTAGAGGAATGAGAAGCAATGGGGAGAAAAGGAGAAGAAAGGAGCGGAGAAGATCCGCGAACGCGTGCGAGCTCGTTCGGTGGACTGTTCCGGGAGGGTGAATGCCGTCGGCGAGAGGCATTCTGAGAAGGTAGAGGCGCGGAGGTGAAAGTAGCAGCGCCTAGAGCCGACAGCCAGGAGGGTGAAGGTGGGTCGACCGAGAGAGCAACGGAGCGGTGGATCGGCAGGAACGGCGGCGGCGGCGGTGGCGGCGGCGGCCGAGAGCGGGAGGACGGAGAAAGCGAGAGGGTTCGGGACGGTGGATGACGTTGGTCGGGGGTGAAGAAGGAAGGGAAATCGCAACGACGATCAATACTTCGCCACGCCTCGCGCCACCACCTATCCCGCCGCCGGTGCGAAGCACTGACTTTCCCGAACCGTTTCGGTCTCTCGGTCAAGAATGGAGAATACCGTTCTCGATATATATATATCTCTCGCGAGTCGCGACTCGCTTTCTGCCAACCCTCCAAAGTTCTACGCGAGCTTCGCGATTCGGATCGCATCGATCGTCCTCGCGTGGCGTTCTCCTCCTCGCCCACACGCCACGCGAGGAGCTACCGATTTTACCCGGAGCTTATCGCTATCGATCATCTATCGCTCGTCACAGATACTTTTCTACTTGGTGGCTACGTTTTTTGGACGACCACTCCAAACTACTCCCACGTTTTCCTCCTCCGTTTCCTCGCTTCGCTCCGGGAGAGCTCCGCGAAATCGGGACAAACGATCGCGTATGCGGACGAAACGGTTAGGAAGCGGCTAGGTACACATGACCTCGTTCCGCGGGGTCACGACACACCGGGGTGTGTGTGTGTGTGTATGTGTGCGAAAACACGAGATGGCAGCACGCTCCGCTCAAACAAAAACTTTTCGCTGTTTCTTCCTTTTTTGCTCTTTTTTTTTTTTCTTTCTTTCTTTCATTTCCACGCTTAGATCCACGTTATCGCGAGAAACGTTGATCGCCAGATCGGAGACGCCAACGCACAATGTTTGCGATAGGTCGCGGCACCGTTTATCAGCATACATCGGTAGTGTGCTCGTAAAAAGTGTTGGCAAAAGTGTTGGTAAACGAAACTCGCGGGTGCTTCGAGAACAGGGAATCGAGCGTAATACATACGTGTCTATAATACGATCGCTACAAACGTGACACGCAGCGCGCGTCGACAATTCAGCTCGAAATTTAGAGAACACGAGGAACGACTGACAGATTTTAAACGGTAGAAGGGGAAACAAACACGATTTACCCCTCCCTCCACAGGCGTTTCGATTCCTAATACGATTTTCTCCTCCGACTCGGAGGTCCACTCGATTTTTCAAACGAACGAAATATCGAGAGATATCGAGAGAGATCACTCTGCGTCGTATCGAAGCAAGCCGCGCACGTGGTCGACTCGACACCACGTCTCGTCGATAGAATTGCAAAAGATCTCTCTTCTTTCGTGAAGAGAAAACGGTGTGGCGAATTAATAAAACCACGGCAAGTCGGTGAGTTATCTATTTCTAAAATTCAGCCGAGGCGACGCGCGCGCGCGCGTGTGTGTGTGTGTGTGTGTGTGTGTGTGTGTGTGTGTGTGTGTGTCGAAGCAGCGGCGACAGGCTGATTTAGGCGTACAGATAGATAACCGCGACAACGCAACAATGGTGAAAATCTTGCAAGAGCGAACCGTTCCGCGTCAACGATCTCCGGTTCGTAAATTAAGGTCACAGCCGAGACCGCGGCAACAGAGGGACGAAAATATCGTTGAATTCGATTCGATATCAATAGAGAAAGCGGCGACGCGGAAAGACGTCAGATTTATCTCTGGAAATTGCGCCGAAACGGCGAGCGTGTCGCGTATTGAACGTCGCACCGGCGTGACCGATCAACATTGTAACAGATACTGTCTCTTAAAAAGAAAAAAAAAAGAGAGAGAGCGAAAAGAAAAAAAGAGAAAAAAGAAAACTGTCCACTTTTTCTCGATTAGCCATCGACACGAGGGCGGGAGAAAAGTTGATGAAGAACGCAACTGTTTGTATTTTATCGAAAGAGAAAACGTACGTGTAAACATACAGGTGCCCTCCTGCGTTCGAGACACGAATGAATTATTATTTCAAGCGAGAGAAGATTCCGATACGCGCGTTGCTCGAAAACTTTTTCAACGCCACGCCCACCTTCTGTCGTTCACGCGGTGCGCGATGTTTGGAAAATCGGTCTCGTTCGCGATTACAAGCACGATACACGAAACAAGATGAGACGACGATGAGTTGCGTTTCTCAGAGTCTTGGCTCCTTGTTCGCTAGTCAGGTAACGCGTGTGCGGCACGTGTAGCTTCACGCGTAAACAGGGTGTACACGCGTTGTTCTTCTCTGTTGGAATGTCGTGAATCGTGGCACACGCGCGAAACGAAAAGTTCAGAACGAAAACCGACAAAACGTGTGGAGAAAAGCGCGAGCACGGTGCAACGTGGAACGAATTCTGTTTCGAAACGGGCAGAACCCGGCGAAACAGAAATTTCCAAAGTTAACAATACATCCCGAATAATTATAGTAAATGGTAAAATAGAAATTCAATTTATTCTAATTTCTAAATTTCTCAATGAAATTAAAGTTAAATGTACGGAAATAAAATTTGATGATAGACGAATTGATTGTGTTCGAGGTCGAATTAATTAATCCAATTGATTCAATTACTATAAAATGTATAAGAGATTCAGGACTAACAATTGGTGTTTTAAAAAATTACCGCGAGGTGATCGCGAAGGAATCGGTGAAGAAAAGGTGAACGACTCGTCACGCGTGAGTCAGGTGCGAAATACGTACAACAGAATTTCGACGTGTCGTTCGCGAGCAGAGGAGAATCTACACAGGAGAGGCACGAAATTCGTTCGAGAAGATCCGGGGCGGAACTGACACCGTCGCCTCCTGATTGCGTCACGTTCGACGTTCGCGATCGGTGGTTGCGAACAAGTGGCCGGGCACGAAAATAACGCGTGCGACGCGGCTAATGCGCTTTAGGGCATCGACGAGAGGTTAGGGTTTGGAGCGTCGTAAGATGTTAGGGGAATCGGTCGGTCCTCTCCTCTACCGAGAGAAGATCGGCGAGGACGAAGAGAGAACGAACGAACGAACGAACGAACGAACGAACATGGATGCCAGAAAATCGGGGAAAACTCGAGAACAGAAACGCGATGTAAACGCGGTGTACGGAGAGGAGAGGTAAACGAAGCAAGAAAGAGAGAACGAAAGATGGAGAAAGAGAAAGAAAAAGGGGAGAAAGAGGGGGAAAAGGGAGCGGAAGGTCGGATCGGAGGTTAACCTGTCAGTTGACGGATCGATGGTTCGAGCGAAGGTGATGAGTTGCAAAGTGCGACGAGTGAAAGCGACGGAAAAAAAAAAGAGGAAGAGAAAAGAAAACCGAACGTTACATAACGATTGAAAATTCACTCACCTCTGGTGGTGATGGTGATGGTGATGATGATGGTGATGGTGACGATGACGACGACGACGATGGTGGTGGTGGTTGTGGTGGTGGTGGTGGATGCGTGGCAGCCGAGTACGGTAGTGGCAATCGGCGACCGCGCCGCTAATCGCTGCGAGTTCACCGAGTTCACCAGTCTGCCGCACCAGAAAACCTTAGAATTTATCACGTAAACATGATCGGATAACTTTGATAGGACGGGTGAGGAAGGAGCTCACTCTCGAGGCACCAACACTCGATGACGTCATTCCACCAGCGGCAACATGGAGCCCGAAACGCGATAGGACGCGGGCTCGAGAGACACGGGCGAGTTGTCTCCCCTCCACCCTCCCGAGCTAACCTCAAATATCGCTCGCGTTGTATACTCGCGGATATACTCGCGAACCCTTCGATCACCACCGGCTGACAACGACCGACTCCTCGTACACCGACACCGAGGACACCGATGCACTGACACACAGCGAACACCGACACTGAGTCACACCGACACACAGACACACCTCTCCTCTCTTCTCTTCTCTTCTCTTCTCTTTTATTCTATTCTATTCTATTCTATTCTATTCTATTCTCTCAACCGCTGCTCCGTGTATTCTTCTCGACGTACTCGTACGCGCGCTCTCTTTCCTCTTTTCCTCTCTTTCTCGTCTCGCGTGTATGAGTCGGGAGGCTCCGCTGCGAGATAGACACACCGCCGTCCACGACTAGAATCCGCTTCGGTCCGCTCCTTTTTCCACGTGATTTCCGAGAGGCCGCTAACAGAGGGCAGTCGCGTGCGCGCGCGCCCCCCACGACCGCGATTCCTTCACTGCGGGAAACCGGAGAGATTCGAAATCGAAGCTGTGTGTGCGCCGCGCCGCGTCGCGTCGCGCTGCTGCTGCCGCTGCCGCTGCTGCCTCCGCCGCACTTCCTCTATAGGACGTCGACGAACCGGCCGAGCAGACCCGACGCGTCGAGTCGTGCCGCGTCGTCACGACTCGTCACCGATCGTGCCCGGTCGTGTCTCCTCGCGTCCCGTCGTGTCGCGTCGTGCCGCGTCGCGTTGCTTCGACAACGCCACCGAGTCGTCCTACTTTTCCTAACCTCGCTCCTCTCTCTCGTTCGTCGCTCGTTTTCTCTCTTCACGCGCGCGACACCAGTCTTTCTCACCTACGATTTCCAAGTATCCTCCGGTGTCTCTGGATTATCGTGTCGTGTTTCGACGCCGTGTTTTCTCAACCTCTCTGCATCTGTGTACGAGCGATCGTATCGGCTCTCTTTCTAACTCTCTCTCTCTCTCTCTTTCTCTCTCTTGTGTCGAGACGTCCGAGCCTCCGTGATCACCGACCAACACAACAAGCGAAACGTCCGACTCGACTGTGACCGTGCCGTACGTAGCGGGCTTACGCGGATCGACTCGTTCGCCCACTTTGCTCTCTGAACGCGAGCGCGCGCGCGCGTGCTCGAGCGCCCGACCACGCGATCGCGCCGCGACGAAAATAATCGCTTCCTCGATCGACCGTCGGCCACGACCTTGCGCCATTCCGCGTCGCGCGACGCGTCACGTTCGGACTCGCGTTCGCCCCGCAACGCAACAACAATCCTCCCAAGAAGTGAAGTATCGAATACTCGCCGGAGGATGCCTGCGTCGTCGTACGTCTCCCGAATCAATCAGATCGACGCGGTACAGCTGGACGAGGAGATCTACAAGGTGCTGAGGAATCAAGCGGGGGAGATCGGCAAGTATCTGCCGGCGGGTAAGATCGATCGATGGCAGCCGGAGATCGACGCGATCCTCAAATATTTCATATGGAATTACTCGCTGCGTCGTGGCGAGTCAACCTTTGGCCAACAGCTGCTTAACCTGAGCTACGCAAACATCACGCGGGCAAAGTCCGTTCTCTACCTGATCGCGACGATCGCGCCGGCGTACGTGCGAGACAAACTCTTCCCCGGCGCGAGTCAACGTCTCGCGGTCTTGCTCGATCGTGTCGCGCACCTCGCCAGGCTCCTCGAGTTCGTCAACTTGTTGATCTTCCTTCATCGGGGCACGCAGCCTCGCGTTGTCGAGTACGCGCTCGGGATCGCGAGCTCCTCCACGACCACCCACAAACCGAGGAACATCGGCTACTCGTACATGACGAGGGAGCTGCTGTGGCACGGCCTGATGGAACTGTTCACCACCGGCCTGCCCATGGTTAACTTCCACTACCTGAAACACGCGGCGAGGAGGCTGTTCCGGCGGACGACGTCGCCGAAACTGCAGCGCACTTCCCCGGTCATGAACTCGTCCACCAAGTGCGCCTACTGCGAGGACACGCCGATTCTGCCGTCGCACGCCGGCTGTCGGCACGTCTTTTGCTATTACTGCCTCAACGCTCACTTCACCGCGATGGACGAGTTTCACTGTCCGGAGTGCGGCATGCGACTCTCCTCCACCAGGATGAAAACTTACAAAGCGGATGCCTCGAGCGCGGCGTCTTGACCTTCTCCAACCTGTATATATATATATATATATATCCAGCATGATGTTCTACTACTGTACACGCTTGCTCGTTTTTTCTCTGGTTTTATTAAAAATAGCCATACAAAATTTCCTCGACTCTCGTGTTTTCATCTCGTACAACTCGGTTTCTCCATCGATACGCGGTACAATAGCTTGTATACTCGAATATTATCGTATAAAAATAACGCACCATCTTGTTCTTCGTTTCTTACACGCACGCGTTACATGCACATGTTGTCATTGATTCCGTTGGTATAACTCATTCGAAATAACTCGAATTCCTTTCGTCCACTCGATTTCGTTCTCCTCGATTCAGTTGCAAGCTCTAATCTTCGGAATGTTCGCTCTTTCTTTACGATTGCGCGAGCACGGCGATCCGATTCGATTGGCAAAATATATTGGAGGGCTACTCGGTTGCAATCCAAAGTATACTACGATCAAAAATGTATCGTTTCGTTATTCCCCCTGCACCTGATCACCCGAGATATATTTCTATAATTGTAGTATATCAACGAAATTACCCCAAGGTATCCCTCCCTGAATGCTAAATTCCTTAATCGTTGCAAAGGTTGCAAGGTACAAGGTTGCAATTTCACCGGTGGTCGAAAGAAACGCGAGATCGTGTCGGTAAATCATCGGCGAAATTAAAACACACCCAGCGTCTCGAAACACGATATATTACAATTCACTCATTCCCTGAACCGTCTTTCACTGCTGAGAAACGTTTGACAATGCACGATCAAACGTTTGCGCTTAATTAATATTCCGTTTCTCTTAATGAAAGTTTAATCGAAATATACACATCGCGAAGATATCGGCAGTACGTCGCATCGCGCGTGAAAGCATGCTCCAAAAAGGCATGCCCGGTCAATCGAACGATTAGCACGCTGGTTAGTCACTTTATCTATGTCTCTCGGTCTTTCTCTTCTCCTTCGCGAATCTTTCTCGTCTGCGTTTCGCTACGTTTCACCCGCTGTCCTTTTGGTTTCCGCGCGAATGGAACAGGAGACGGAAGAAGAATCGTTCAGCTTCCAGAGGAGAGAAAGAGAAAGAGAAAATTTGCCGCGCGCAACGTCAACGAGAAAGAAGACAGGAAATAGGACGAGCGTTTTCAACTCGGATCGTGCCGTAACGTAATATGCGTTGTCCTTACCTACTAGCTACTCTTCTCTTCTTCTTCTCTTTTTCCACTTGCTTAAACTCTAAAGTAATTCTAAATTCCGCTCGATCAGCCAAATACACATAATTTACATATATACATACGCGTTTTAGATAGGAACATCGAAGAACAGCGTGACATATTTACCTTAAAAAAAAAAATAATAATAATAATAATAATGATAATAATGAAGAAAGTAATCGAGCAAGTCCACTGATCGATCGTGTAAATATTTCCGGCAGGCGCGAGAATAGGAAAAACTAGAGACACGATTGAAGGAATCCTCACGGTCATCGATCAAGCTTTATCGATCGATGTCGCTTTCGTCAAAGTCGCTGCCGCGGAAACAAAATCATAATAATAATTTTCATTATCTGGTCGGTGTGCAACGAAGAAAAACCCAAATTTCCAATCGAATGGGAGTAATTCCGTTTATCAAAAAAAAAAAAAATATATATATATATGTATAATATATGTATACGATTTTAACGTTCAATACAGTTACGAGAAACGGGGACGATCGGGTACAGTCTTGTTACATCACACACATACGCGCGCGCATACGCTCGCGCGCATAAAAACACGTAGTATATAATTACTTCTCGATCATTTTCCTCAAGCATGCGACCGTGCCGCACCAAAAAACAAGAATAATTTATGCTTAAAAAGACTTCGCAAAAGACTTAGTCAAGAACTTTTTTTAACGATAAAATCGTTCGACTCCGTTAGGCATTCTCGATAAGTATTCGCCGAGGCGATATTCCGAAATTTTTTTTCTTTTTTTTTTTTTTTTTTTTTTTTCGTTTTCTTGACGATAAAGGGTAATCGCTGGCCGCATCGACAAATCGATCCATTCGCTTAGATCGCGAACTGATATTTTTTTTTTCTTTTTCTTTTTTTTTTT